GGGTTTAGGGTTTCGGTTTCAGGGCTCAGGTTCTTCTCAGAGCCTTTCGCCTCATGGCTCTAGGGCTGCCCCAGAAGTCGCGAAGATTCGGCCTCCGAGCCAGTGGTTCAGGTGTTCCCGGACAGGAGCCCCTAAACCCTAAACCCTAAACCCTAAACCCTAAACCCTAAACCCTAAACCCTAAACCCTAAACCCTAACCCCACCCTCAAAAAAAGCAGAACCGAACACTGAACTCTGGAAACCCCGAGCCCTGGAGCATTAAACCATGAGCCTGCAGACCTTAAGCCCTACTAACCCTTAGGCCGCAGCTATGAACCCTTGGACCTTTAAACCCCGAAGCCTTCGACCCGAATCTAGGGGCCTTAAGTACCTATACTATTTTGGGGGTTCCGTATTCCAGCGAAAGTATACTACACCCCAAAACCCTATTCTAACGACCAAGGCCTGTACATTACACCCCCCCCCCCACCTCATCCTGAACCGGTATGATATCCTTCATGGCAGCCCGTACAGGATCCCTGACAAGAATCCCTCAAGCCTAAAGCTTCTCGAAGGCCGAGCGGGCTGGCAAGCTTGCCAAGGAGCAGGGGCTCACCAACGTCCGATTCCAGGCAGTTGAGAGGTGTTTAGGGTTTTGGCATTTGGGGGTTAAGGGTTTTTAGGCGTAGGTTTGAGAAGAGTTGTAAAGGATTTCGTATTGAGTAGTGGTAGGGTCTAAGGGTTTAACGGCTTTCAAGGGTTTAGGGTGCGGGCTTGGGAGTTTAGGCTGATAAACATTTTTTCCGTTTTGTTTAGGGTCTGCGCTGTTGTTTGGAGGGGAGTAGGGTTCTCTATACCAAAACGAAGATCCGAAGGTCCTAGGGGACACTGTCAGTTCTAGACGGGTATAAGTATAAGGACCGGCACTAACGCACTGTACGGGTACTATACACCTCTACCTCCTTGCTTCTGTGTTCAGTCTAGAAAAATCTGGATGCCGAATCTGCGATTCAGAGAGTTCCGGTTCTTGTGTGTTGGGGTACGGATAGGCACAGGTTTCGAGGCTGAGATCCTTTCTGCCCATATTACTCAGAGCCGAGCAACTTGGAACTTGGGTAGCGGTTTGCTTCTGAGCTTGTCATAGGCCCGCAACTGCCAACCAATTCAACTCACATTCTTTTAGCCAGGAGAAGTAGGTGCAGGAGCCTGACTCGGTAGTACGACTGAGCGCTGCTTCCCCTTTCCCTGCCGGGAGCCTTCCTGACGGGCTATCGGGCTTGTGTCCGAAAGCTCCGAAAGCCGAACCCTAAACCCAAAGCCCTCAACCCCATGCCCTGGTGTCCATGGGTGCAGGTGATGGACGCGCTGAACATGGAGCCTAGCACTCAGAGGAGCTTAGGCGATTTAGGGCGCGGGTCCTGAGGTTTTGGAGAGTTTCGGGAGCCAAGACAGGCTCATCAATGCATCTAGGGACCAGTCGACCAAAATCATCCTGTTGAGCTTGGATTGACTACGTTCCGGCCTTGACCCCTCAAGGCTGCAAGCCAACATCGTGCTGGTGCTTTGTACGGAAAGAGGGCACGGCATGACCCCGTATATATCGTTCAGACGAGTTCGTCTTGAACTAGCTATACAGTATGAGACATACATCATTCATTCCCTAGTAAGGCCAGTACGAGATTGCTCCCTTGCTAGTATCAGCAACAGCTTGAGCCGAGTGCCAGGAGAAGCAACCCTGCACAGATGCCGCAGCCACACCCTAAACCCCCATGCCTCGAGTCAGACATCTCATCCGCCTGAATCCTGAAGCCTTTCTGAGCCCGAGCAGACCCCGAACCTCAGGCTCCATAAGCCTCGGAGTTGGAGAGAGAGAGCCTAGGGTGCAGGAGGACAAGATCTTTTTACAGGGCACGGTACGGGAAAGCCCGGGCAGGTTCAAAAGGGGTTCGGAGAAAAGCGGAAATCAAAGGCTAATATCAAGTATCAAGCTGGGGTACAGGACCCTGATCATTACCCGGTGCATCGCAGGTGTCTGGGAAATGGATCCTTGCTCCGGCATCACCCCTCGAGGTTCGAAGACAACACCTTCGACATGGTTTGGGCCTGCGAGTCGGGTGAGCACATGCCAGACAAGAAGAGGCGCTCGCCAGCAACCCTCGTGTCTCGAGGCTTAAGGAATTGGGTCTTCTGATCATGTGACAGGGCGAGTGACTAGTAGCTGAAGGCTTGGCAGGAGGGCTTGCTTCCAACATTCAGCTGCCCTTGCACATCATGCGTGGCATCGCGTGGGTTGAAATGGTCGGGATGGCCCTGGTCAGGCGCTCGCATCTGACAAAAACCAGTCGAAGCATGCCGTCAAGAAGCTACCTTGAGGCCCAAGGAGGCGCAAGGCTGAGTGGGCTACGCCCTGCGTGGACTCATATTCGACTTCGAAGGCGGAGTCCACACGGCACGGTGATGGACATCTCCGACCATGCACCGTCATCGCAGATGTCCATCGCTGTACCATGTGAGCATCCACAAAGCATCCTGTTCGGATGCCATACTCGAATTCCAAAGTCTGTCCAGGCATCTCGTAGCCCATGCCACCCCCCACACGCCTCAGCTGCGCGGATTGAACCTCAAGGAACCTGCGAGCATGCCGCACAATTCTGCGGTTGCGCCCTCCACCACTACCTCACTCGCTTGTAGGGAGATGTGGCTCTTACCAGGGAGGGAGCTGGTGCCAGAAGATTTTCGGTGCTGGACGCGTTTCGAGCCACAGACTTCGGCTCTGGCATCGACGACATTCTGCAAGACCTGGACAGAACCTGTCATTCGAAGAATTGACCTCTCACCTTTTCCATGCATTCAACGTTCTGAAGCCACCAATCCCGAAATGCAATTTAAACCGGAAGCAGGTACGTCGAGGAGATGTCTCGTGTTCTTGCGCCAAAGGGTGGCCTGGCTTGAAGCAAGAATATCGCAGATTCTGAGCTCAGAGTTTGGATTTTCGGGTGAAAGGTTGAGTCTTCCGGATTTCGGCACGAGAATGGATGTTGTAGGTTGCAGAGGTCGTCATACACGCGTGGTTTCAGTCTGAGGGTCCGGTCTGCATGGTCTTGACGGTACATGAACTCTGCTCCGGTCCCACATCCGAGTCTTATCCTGAAGTCTGAAATCCTTATGTTCGAGGCGATACAGGGTACATCCCTCCTTCGTAGGAGGCTCTGGGTTTTCGGGGCTCCATGAGTCTAACGAGTTGGACAAGGGTTGGCCGGATCATATGAGGCTTGAAACAAGAGGATTTCGGCAAAAAGGTTTCTACCCTGCTTCTTAGGTTTAGGACCCTAAACATACCCTAAACCCTAAACCCTAAGTTTTTTTTTTCGGGGTCGTCCTCGGCTTCTTTCGGAACAGAAACCGGTCTAGGCAACATGGTGGTGGCCACATGGTGTGAGAGGGATCCGGCCGGGGCCCTGGTGTGTATGGGGATAGTCAGTGAGGGGCTTTCGGGTTTCACGACTTCAGGGACTTGGCACTTTAGGGGTGAACGAGCTGGCTTCGTCGTTTTGGGGTTTGGCTTGAACTGCCTTGCACCCAAAATCTGTAAGTCATATTCGCAATCTCCAAACTCCAAGCTCCCCAACACCCAAGCCAGAAAAGCAAAATCCCAACCACGCCCAATCGGGAAACTCGAGATCCGACATCCTCGGGCATCAGGCCCAACAGCCCGAAGCCCTATGCGAATCACAGAGCCTAAAAACCCTACGGTTCAGGGCCTCAGGGTGCTGGGAGTGTTGATGTTTCCGCCATTCCGGCATTCATGCTGTTGAATTGGTCGGAGACCTATTCTAAGGCTTTGAGAAGGGTTGAACGCGCTCGCTTTCCACTTGAAGCTTCGGGTTTCGGATTCGAGAGCGGATATACCGGTATCAAGCATCCCCTGGGAGACTGCAGTATCAGACAGCTTGCTTTCTGTGGCTCTGTTTCGTGTAGTTTCTCCCCTGTGTTTAGGCGTGTCCAGGATGCCAGCAAGGGGTGTCGTGGAGAGGTCTGGAATCAGTCCTCATCAAGAGCTGGGGGACGGGCGATTACATCGTGTCGTGACACAGATATAGGGGCCTCAAAAATTACCAATACTATATTGGGGGTTCCAAAATATCATTATAGTATAACGGGTCCCAAAACCCTATTCTAATCATGAAGGCCCCTACAGTATTGAGATCTTGCGCCTCTCGGCAGCTTCTATGAAACTTTAAGCTCTTTAAAAGGCTTACGCACTCTATAGCTCCTGAACTCCTAAAGCCTCACGCCTCCCAAGCTTTAGGGCCCCCTTACAAGGCCCCAACATTCGTAAGGAAAAAAGCCCCCCAAAGCCGAGCCTCGAAGCCCTGGCACTCCAGGTTCCCATGTTCACGGCCGAAGAGAGGAAGACCCTGAACTTCCTCTACGCGGACCGACTTCCTAGGGCCGTTTAGCAATGGGGGAGAGGCCCCGTCTCTCGGATACGTCTTTCAAGGAATCCAGGAGCAAGGTACATGGAAACCCACGTTTTCAGAGGGTGTTAGGTTTAGGATCCCGGTCCCGGGCCTGGGATCGGGACCCGGATATCGAGACGAACGAGGTGCATTCACCTGAGAACGGCATGATGTTTGATGTTGGGTGCGCGTGCCAACATCTTGTTCTGGACAGCTGTGGGTGACCAAGTGGTTCCAAAAAAAACCCTAGACGAGCTTCTGGCATTGTTGCATGGTGGAAGGTTTGTCGCTTGTATGTACGGGGCTTGGGGCATCGAGTTTCAGGCCTGTGTCCAAAGTCCTCAACATCCCTCGCAGCTCAGTCGGATACGATCCGATCAGCCTGGGTGTTTCTGACCATGCCTTGGGTCTGAAGTTACCCGACGGAATCGTTTTAAGTCTGCGTGCGTCCGCCGCAGGAGTGGACGCACCCGTACTTCATCTCCCTCAACAAGTACAAGGAGTCCTTGCCACATGCGCCGGTTTCAGAGCGTGGTTTAATAGTCCTCGCACGCCATGCTCAGACCTCTGCACTGAAATAACCCTTAGCCCTGGATTCACCTCGAGCGGAAGCTTCTCTAGGCTCGAAAGTCAGACTTTGTAGACTCTCTTCTGGCAGCCCGGGTGTAGGGGTTTCGGGACGTAGGGCTCAAGTTTGAAGTCAGGGCTTGAAGGGTTGGGAAGAAAGTTGAACCCTAAACCCGGATGCCACACGGAGCTTCGCAGAATGGAGTCCTTTTTGTTAGACCGAGGATGTACACCTTCTCTGTGCATCTGAACCCTTCACCCGACAAGGAAAATCCTGAATCCTTTCATCTCCAAGCCCTTGCTGAGCCCTTCGAGCCTTGAAGTAGCTTGTGAGTAGATTTGTCTTAGATGTCTTGATGAGCCCTCTCAAAGCGCCATTTCCCAGATCTGATCCGAAGCTGACCGTAAGACTTGAGACTTAAGCTTCAGAGCCCGGGATTTCTAGAACAGTAGACAGCATGAAACCCCCGTAGCCGTACATACTGTAGCTACAACAGCCGCTGCTGTCGTGATAGTTACTATTCCCATTGTTAGTGCTCCAGTTTTTTGTTACTCATTCTTGTCGTTGTTGCTGGTGGTGTTGTTGTTGCTGTTGCTGCTGCTCCGGTTGTAGCTCTGTGAAGCATCTTGCTGGACGAAGGAGTATATGGAGGGAACAGAGCTGCTGGAGCAGGCCGACGAGTTGGGGTTCGTAATCCCAAGTTGTGGTTTTGGCTATCGCTCGCCAGTGATTTCTGCCAAGGACCTTGTGATCGAACTCCCACAAAGTCCATAATCCCGACGGTTTTGGCAAACGCTCGAGTAGTCTAGTCATTCGGAGTCACTTCCCACAGCTTTCAATCCTTACCCCCGGCCATCTTTCCTGGCATCCTCCGGGAAACACTAATTCCGCAAGTCTGGATCCATATCTCCTCTAGCAGCTTACCCCGACCAAAGCCCCGGACCAGCACCCTAAGCCCAGGAGGTGCAACAGCTGTGTTTAGGGTTCAGGGGTTGAGGCTTAAGTAGGCATGTTGGGTTCAGGGCCTGCTACCAACCTTCCATGGTGCTGTTCTCGAAAAATGCGTCCACAATAGCTCGCTTTTGTAGATGACGTCCAGTCGTGCAAGTCCTGAGTCAAGTACCTTGCTCCGGTAGTTAGAAGTTGCTGCCGTAGCTTCCGGGAATAGTCGTGCTGACCTCTTGTAGCCAGAACTCGGAACCCAGTATCGACGGATTCCCGATGCACTTATTCGATAGCTTTGGTTGGAAGACACCGCTGCTTGGTTCTCATTCCTTAACTGCTGTCCTTCTAGCACCGCTTCCTCTAGCTGGAGCCATATAAAACCCTGATACCTGTTACCGTAAGCGCTAAACCCTAAATCTTTACAGCCAAGTCCAGTAGAAAAGCCTTATAAAGCTTCCAGAGCCCAGAGCACTTAGGCCTTCAGCTTACAGACTTTTACAGAACCCTCAGCACACCTATATAAACAACCTTTGTATAGAAACCTTATAAGGCCTTTCGCGAACCCTTTGGAAGGCCTGTATATTGAGTACAGACCGTTTGTAAAGTTCTAGACCTGGTTGAGTGTGGCCCAACGCTGGAGTCTCACAAGGTGGACACAGCAGATTGGACAGAGCAGACGCTGCCAGCGTGGCGCCACTCCGTGTGGGTGCCACCCTCAAGGGACAATCGCGAACTTAAAGTCGCCTCAACATATCTTAAAGGCAGTACTGGCAGTCGTCATAACCATGGCCATGACAACCGCTATCATCATCATCATCATCATCATCATCATCACCATCATCATCATCATCATCAGAATCATCATCATCATCATCATCATCAGAATCATCATCTATCGTCATCGTCATCATCATCATCATCATCATCACCATCACCATCACCATCACCATCACCATTACCATCATCATCATCATCAGCATCATCATCATCATCATCATCGTTGTCATCAGCATCGTCGTCGTCATCATCACCATCACCACCATCAGCATCATCATCACCATCACCATCATGATCATGTCAGAATACCGTTCAACCTCAAGCCTCAGTTTACTTCAATCCCAGGATTCGGCTCCGGTGATAGCTTTGGGTTTTGATTGCACGCTTGTTCGTTGCTGTTGGGGGCGGGGACTACATCTTAGAACCCACACCCCAATCCCGAACGGAATATGGGCCCCGATTGCCCGAAGCCCTAGAGGAGGGCCCTACATCCGCAGCTTGCGGAGGTCGGGGTCTGGTCGCCATGGTACTGGCTGAAGGTGACTTTCAGGCGCCTTCGCTTCCGGTTTAGAGTTTAGAGTTTAGGGTTTAGGGTTTAGGGTTTAGGGCTGCCCAAACCCCGACCCGAAACCAAGACCTGAAGACCTTGAACTCCCAATTATGCCTAGTTCCATAGAATACTCTACCAGCATCAATACGCCCGTTGACCCTAAACTCCAGACTCCGTAAGTTGCTCGAATAAAGCGGCTTCAGTAATTCGAACAGGGCTTTGGGATACTTTGAGTGCCTCTATATACGGTTTGTAAGGGGGATCAATGTCGTGACCTTAATAATTAGATTAGGGTTTTGGGGTGATGTGGGCGAAAGCCTGTCAACGAAGAGCGAAACAAAGGAAACCCTATCCTATTTATTATGGCCCCAACATTATTCCGTTTTCTGTATAGTTCAAAGTCCAGCCCCCGACACTCGTGCCCGAAGCCCAAAGAAGCTTTGGCTTTCATGCTCCTTTTTGGTATGTGGTCTGCACGGATCAAGGTAGAAGGTTTAGGAGGAAAAGCGAAGAGTAGGAAGTGGGCAGGAAGCAGGCCCTCACAGTCCTTACAATTGAGAGTCGTAAGCCCTGCTGAAATAGAGGCAGGAGAGCCCTTCGGAAACCCCTTTTGTTTTTACCATTCTACAGCACTAGATCAACGTTGCCCTGCTTATTTGTAGGTGGTCATATTCGCATGGTAGTCTGTCTGCTTCTACTCTGCTTGCTTGTTTTGATTGCTCTCAGTCTCTCTCGTCTTACGCCGTGCGCCTTCCGGGTTTAAGTTGCAATATCTGGCGGCCTTGTTGCCCTTAGGGTGCGTCCAATTGTAGTGCAGTTGCTGTTGTTCGTATACTTCAGTGGTTTTTATGGCAAAGTCTTTTGTTGAAGTTACTAAGTGGCACGTGCTAAGAGCTGTCCCGCATTTTTCCCTTGTGCATCCAGTCACGATGCTGCGCTCGTCTCATACACATTCCAGTCTGCTACGGGCTTTCAGAACCCTCCAAACCCCATAATACGGCCTCCGACGCCTAAATCGCCTTAAAGAAACAAACAACCTATCCAGCAGGCTACAATTCCTACAGGGCACCTTCGCAAGAACAACTTGACGTAAGAAGCAAAGTAAACCTAGGCAAAAGCTCTGCAGGTACCCTAAATCCGAGCCCCAAAACCCCTAAACCCCTAAACCCTAAACCCTAAACCCTATATTCCCCCGTCGCAGGAAGGGCCCTGGTGCCTTCGTGGGATTCCTGCGCGAGGCTGGGGCGGAGGGACTTCTTTTCGGGTAGTGGAGGGTTTGGGGTTTAGGGTTTGGGATTTTAGTATTTTAGGGTTTAGGGTTTGGGGTTTGGGGTTTGGGGTTTTAGGATTTGGGGTTTTAGGATTTGGGGTTTTAGGGTTTCGGGTTTGGATTTGGGGTTTAGGGCTTGTTTTCTTGGGCTGTTGTGGGGTTTAGGGCCTAGGCATTCTCTACTGTCGGGTTTTTGTGGCGCAGGACGGTTTAGGGTTTATCTACAGATGTTTAGTTTTAGGGTTTCATTCGGGTTTGGAAAACGGGTCGATAAGGACCATAAGGAGTCCAGAGGCGAACCTCTCGACATTTCTCAATAATAGCTGTACGGGTTCCTCGGGGTAATGGTTTAGTGTTAGAAGGTTGGGTTTCGCCCCAGAACGGGCTTGTCGGGGGTCCTTTGGTTACTCAAAATCTGCCTTAGGTTAGGCTTGTAAGGATCAGGGTGTTTGGGGCGTAGTGCCTTGTATCCTTCTGGACCTCTACCAAATCCTTGACACCTCTCACATTGCGGCATGTGGTGTAAATTTGTAAGAAGAGAATAACGTCAAGGGGTTTCGCATTGGGGTGTTTAGGGAACAGCTCTGGGTCAAGGTTTCGGTCGGGTTGTCAAGTTTCCCGAGGCCCATCAGCACGAAGTATTCACCGCTTCGGGTCCAGCCGAAAGAGTCGAGTTTGCCTGTCCTCAAAAGGTTACTTAGGTAGAAGATATGGCATCAAAAAGGGTTGAAGCCTTGCACGCGAAGCCTATTCTGGTCCTCTTGCCTCCGGAACCCACCAGGTCTACACCTTGGAGAAGTTCCACAAGTCGATGGTGAGTGGTCTCATGGTCTACGGCATGATGCGCGCCGTCAAGAAGTAGCTTGATGCAGGGGATGGTCACATCTACACGCTAAATCCGATAGTTTAGGCATGGGGCTTCAGGATTCAGGATCGAGGGTTCAGGGTCCTGAGCCTTAGGGGTAGAACGTACCCTGTGCAGCGAGCTACTGACACGCCCACATCTAGACTCTTAAGCCCTCACACCTTAAACAACCAACACGGTGCAGATCCCAATGCTCTGATCCTGGCCCCTGAATGGGGGCAATTTTCGCTCCGGGTGTCTTTCTCGATGTGCGTCGGCAATACTTCCGACTGCCCAGGATGCATCCGATGAATTCTCAACCCTGTCCGTTTGTTGGCTTCTTGCTGGTATATTGAGGTTGTCTGCAGAATACATGCTGAAGATTGTGTTTCAGGATGTACTGGGATCCGTGTCCTCACATATCAATGCTACCAAACATTCCGGTTCCGAGCTGCTCTAAGCAGCTTTTCTTCGATTTTCGCATGAAGAAGTTTTCTGACCACCGGTGGAAAACGAAAAGAATTTCGCACGCAACGGGCAACCCTTGGGGTACGCACCCGGGGTTCAAGATTCGCGTGAAATTCCAAGAGCCTTACAATATCTCGGTAGTAACCAATTTAATTAATTTATAAATTGATTTTCTTATTTGAAATAATTGAATCTTTATACCCTAAACCCTAAACCCTAAATTCTTAATTCTCGAAATTAAACAATACTATATATTTATACTATAAATTAGAGATAAAATAATTATATAATATAGAAATTATTTTTACTTTTCATATCTTTATATTTTGATATTATAATTATTCATTCTTATTGCTTCTATATCTTATTCTAGATTTATTGATTAGTATATATATATATATTATATTTATAATATAAAAATTCTTCTTGAAATTTCTCTATTCTATTTTCTATATGAAATTTTATTTTAATATTTTTATAAGCTGAGATAATCGAAATTTCTTATATATTTTATTATATTATTATGAAATTAATTTATTTTCTCGAATTTTAAATACTAAGATATAAATATTTTCGAATATATTTTGAATCTTATGAATATTAAGATTACTATAGCTTTATAATATATAAATCTATCTCGATTCATATGGATTGCTATTGAAATTATTGAAACTGTCATAAGAACGTTAGAATGGTATAAGAAATACTACGATAATTGAGGATTAAGCACAGCACTTTTCGTGCTAGGAATTGGATTTGGGCGCATCTTCTGTCGGGATATGAAGTCTCGGTTTCAGAATCATATTCCACTGGCACGTATTTTCCAAGACGGATCTTTGTTGACGGAGATTGATTTCGGAGAAATTCATCTCGAAAGATATCCGACGACGCGGGCACGACATCGTAATGACACCAGAAGAGATTTACCGCGCGTCATATTATCGCAGTAACGTTGAGTGGTCTTTGGCGGCTGGGTTTGACCGGATTTTATCCATAGAAGATCCAGACCTCATTTTCGATGAAGGCTACGAACCCACTGCCCAATCCGGGCGACCCCCAGGGGGCGGGGTGGGATACGTGGGGGGGGTGGGATGTGTGGGGGTCGTCGATGGTCCCGACCAATGAAGGGTCAAGCATCTGACCGATGGTTTCGAGCAGTGTCTGGCAAGATTGGGCCAGTGCCGCCCTTAGACTTGGAATCCGCACGGAGCGTGAGTCTGGGAAGCCAAAGAAAGGGATGGAAGGGGAGGCCGTAGTTCTTTTAGATCTTGCCTTCGAGGATACCTTCGCCGATTTATTTGCCCGAGCAGCCAGACAAGCACCAAGCCGGAAATATGGATCTCGCGGTCCTTCCCATAATCGGCGATAATACTTGCGTTTACCGTGCTCTTCTCCTCGGCACGCGACTCCGTTCTGGAGTGCCACGTGGCCGGCTTCAGGCTTGGTATTAAGAAATTTCGAGTTGGATAAGGAAGCATATCTTCTTATACTAAAAGGTCCCTATGCCCGCAGTGCAAGAGCTCAGGGAGGGTATCTGTGACGCTATGCGCAGCTAGACAGTTTCCCTCCCTCAAGAGCGGTTCAACCAGATCACGCAATCCTTGGCGTGGGACGCCCATCAGGATCATTTGCACGTGCAGGGCCTTGTATTCGTATTTAGACATATTTGCCGCTAACAATAAATGCATGCTCAGAAAGCTAAGGAAATACAGGGCGACCCTGCTTGGGCGGAGACTGATATACAATATTTCTCCTATTATGAAAAGTGGCCCTGGACAAAGAAATCTGGTAGATACGGGATCTTTGCCAATATCTCCTCTTTCTGCCATATGCGCGACATTTCCGTAGATATTTACGCCCAAAGAGCCGGTCGGAAAATTTGCATTTGGCAAGAAAGGGCCAATACGGATGATGCAGCGGCAGGCCCCATTTGCTTGCTGCGAACCGGCAATCATTTTGATTTGCTGGTCCGGCCTTGATAGGGTTCCTTCGCACCAATCGTTTCATCTAGAGGGAAAACGCAACTGCAGTGCAGAACGCGTTGAATAATTGATTACAGCGACCAATTCGAGATTCGAGGACTACTTCGTAAAAAAACGCAATATACCAGATGGGAATGGATCTCGATGCCTGGACCAATTCGATAGTGTCGCCATCAGAGCTATGAGCACAATATCGTGGTTAGCCCATATACATAGAGTATGGGCCCATTTTGTCGACCATACCGTTTCGTGTGGGGCTGCTTTGCGGACCGTATTATCTGTACGTTCAAGTGCTCCGTCTCAATCGCAACTTTGTGGCTCAAGCACGAGCTCATGCTCGTACTGCCAGACTGCTAAAAGCTAGTCCTGCTTTCGACTCAAGTAGACGTGAGCCATTCCCCTTGCACAGCCACTTGCTGAGCTTGTGCGAGCACAACAAGCTTCTGCCAGCGTGCCTGCGTTGGAACGGAGTGAGAGAGAGAGTATCCAGTTGACAATTACGAGTACCGCGATCCACGAGGCGACCACAGCATCATTCAGCTCGGTGAGGTGAGCATCAAATATCGTATTATCGATGCCAAGTCCTCACGCACCAGACAAGAACAGAGCAGTTTCATAGAATATGGTAACAAGGAAGCTTGAAGGAAAAAGCCCTTGGGTCGATTGTAATCCAAGTGCCTGCAGAGGACGTGGCAACCTATTTATGATTCGCTTCGATATGTCCACATGTGGTAGCTGCCAGCTTCTTGTGTGTCACACCAGCTTTGTTTCACACGGCAGCTTCAACTTGCACCCTGCAAATTTCCAGCAGAACTCAGATCGTCGTCTCGCGTTGCCCTGCCACCGCTTTGCTTTGCTTGCTGTAGGTCCGGATACTCAGTCGGTTGCCTTGTGCTCTGTGGCCGAGAAATCAATGGAACCCTCCATTTTTCACGCTATTCAATGATGGCCGATAAGGTTTTCCAAGCAGGTTAGACAAGAAGAGATCGGCGAATGGGGGCAAGTGAAATTCTATATGGAGAATTAGAAGGAATATGTGATTTTGCAAATATTCTGAGGAACTACGTTTGATAATGCTTTAGTGTTTCGATTAATTTCTGGTTGATTTGGAAGTTTGGAAGGGAACAATTTCATGCGTTGGAGTGATATCTTGTGGATTCAGGAGTAGAGGAACAAGATCTACTATGATATGTAAAATACAGATTTTCATATGCTTCGTATTATTGGTAGTAGTAGTAGTAGTCGTAGTAGTAGTAGTAGTAGTAGTAGTAGTAGTAGTACTAGTACTAGTACTAGTAGTCGGAAAAGTAGTAGTCGTAGTAGTAGCAGTAGTAGTAGTAGTAGTAGTAGTAGTAGGCGCCCCCCCCTACCAACTACACTTGCTTAAAACCATCTTAGGAGCACATCCGTTTTACTCGGTATTTACAGCACTTTCGTCATGTACGATCATCATAAGCGGCCTCAAAATCCACTTGCCGAGTTTGCTAACTCGGCCTCTTGATTTTGGACTTGCTGCGGGGTGGCGGGGTGGGGGGGTGGGGGGGG